TTTTTTTTTTTTTTTTTTTTTTTTTTTTTTTTTTTTTTTATGATTGTCATTTGACATTAGAAAGGAAAACAACAACTATTTCATTTATGTTCCCATCTTCTCGTTGACTAATGGCTCGAAGATAAAATATATTCGTCGCAAAGGACACGTGACAAACTTTGCCGTCGTTAGATGATACTATCAAACACGATTTTGTATAAATAGCATTCTGTAGACAAAAAAAAGGGGGGGGGGTATAAATAGCATTCCCAATTAGTCAACCAAAAGTAAAACCAAGAATTTTGCCTATGTATTATTACATATTTTCATATTATTACCAGCGTTGTCACTTGTCAAGACGAGAACAGTCTGTGTTCAAAAAAAAAAAAGAAGACGAGAGTTGTCTATTGATGTTTATGTTTGGAAGTACTGAATGGTTTATGTTTAATGAATCTAGTCATAACTATTACGAACAAAATAAAGGTTCTTGATTAATTACAGGCTCCAATGTCCTTACTCTAATGTCCTTACTCCTTATAAACAAATATTGATCAATATTAACATCACAATGGAGTTAGCATCTGCTACGAAATTTTGAGTTACAATCAATTTAGTCAAAAATTAATAATTTTTAACCGTTTAGAAATTTAAAATCAACTTACTAAGTGTTTCTCCATGATTACGCAGATATAATATTTTATAAATATATAACTTATATTTTATTTTAAGTAAATGATTTTTACTCTTAAAAATATATACAAGTTTTTCATTATCTATTTTAGAAAAGTATAGTTTATATTTTAAGCATTCTATTGTTTGTGAAAAGAGTAATTATAATCACTTTTAACTATATTTGTTGCAAAACTAGTTCCAACTATAATTATTAAATTTGTATTGATAGTTATAGTAAAATTATTTTCACATAACTAAAATCATTATTTTATGAATTATGAAGATGTTGAATGCCATGACTAGAAAGATAACATTTAAAGACATTTGAGGGAATCGATAGGGATGTGTCATATATTTATAAGTTTACAATCTTAAATAAATTCTTTTTTATATTTGTTTTCCAAACTGTATAAAAAATGGCTGTATCTAAAGTAACTTTCAAAATTGCAGAAAAATATTAATGTAGCAAGATTTTACTCAATGAAGTATAATTTTTTAAAAAATATCTTTAGATTCAACAGTTATTTGTTTCACTGTGATTTCATACAAAAGTGGATATGTGTTTCGGTCATTTACATTTATTATTTGATGAACAAAATATAAAAATAATATATACTTTAGTTTAACGCCAAAAGAGTAAAAGTAAAAAAAATTGAAACTAAAAAAAGAAAGTCTAGAAAATTTTTGAAGCCAAAAATAGTATTTGTTGTATAATAGTTGAGTTCATGTTTTATCAAAAAACCATTAAGATTTTATGATAATAATATAAAATAAATATTAATGAACACCAATTTATTTTTAAAAACTATAACTCAAAATCCAATATATTTATCAATTAAACAGTGGAATTACAAATGGGCCACTGATTTCAAATATATGAAAGAAATTTATATATTCAAAATAATTAATTATGTTATTTTTCTATTAATATATAAGATGTTATATAATCAGTTACGCATAATACAATGTATAAAATAGAATTATGCATAACAAATATCGAAAAATAACCTAACCAATGATCGGATTTTTAAAGCAGCCTATGATTAAACAAAATTATAAAGTAAAAATCATGCCGAACTTCATTTATTCATTAGCTAAAAATTGAACTAAAAATTCTGTTATGAAACCAGATTAATTAATTTTCTGCATTAAGTATAAAATCATACTATTGTAGGATCTAATCTGGAACTGAAAATCTAAAATAAAAAACATGCGATAAAAAAAAAAGTTTGTTTAATTTTGGTTCACTCATCAGCTACCATAAACTAAAATGGAAGGCATTAACCAAAATCAAAAATTTAAATTCTACTATTATCTTAATTTTTCTATTCTAGGATAGCAAGTTGTATGATAAATTATTTATATTTTCTCGTTTTTTCTAAAATTACAATCTTTTTAGATCTGATTAAGTAAATAAAATAGAAATTCATTAGCAAGTAAATTAAAATAATTAATGTGAATTTTCTTATAAATGATATTTGAACAAGAACCATTAATTTACTTATCTTTTAAAATTTAATATACAATAAGATAGTATATATTTTTTTTAAAAAAGAAGTGGTCTAGTGGTTAATGTTTCATCAGACTATAGACTTGTTGAACCTAACGTGTGAAAATGATTAGTACTAGTATGAACCAATTGTTTCAATGTTTGGGGTTTGAGCAACAACACACAAAGAAAAAGAAACTGTGCTTTAATGGTTTACCTAGATGTTTCATTTTCAACTTTTATCTCAAAAACAGAAATAACTATTTTAGCAATATGTAAAGTGAAACCTTATAGTTTTTCTTGTTTCATTTATATTAAAAAAAATGAAAGTAAAATTAAATTTAGTTGGAAAAGGAAAGGAAGAAGGAAAAGGAGAGATGTATAGTATAGTGTGGGAGATACTGTTGGTATATTCTCTCTTCCCTTCCCCACCACACCACTCAATATATCTCTCTTTCTTTGCTTTCCTCTTCTCTCCATGTCAAAACCTAATAAACACTCCTCTCACCAACAACCACCACCAGAGAGAGAAAAACAGAGCAAATTGGTTAGAGCAGAGAGCTGACAAAGTTTTCTTTTTTCAATGGTTTGGAGGTTTGTTAATGGCGTTATAGACTCGTGGGACTGAAAAGGAGAAGTATTCACCCGTTGCTTATCTTCTTGATTTCTCACTATTTCACTTCCCCTCACACAGAGCTTCTTATGGTGAGTTCCTCTTTCTCCTCTGACTTGTTTTCAATTCTGTGATTGAGAATTAACAAAAGGGTCTTCTCAAGTTCTTACCTTTTGCTCTGTTTTTGTGAAATTCAAGCATGGGTTTCTAACTTAATAGGAAAGCTAAGACCTTTGAGAATTTGTATTTTGGAAAACCCTATTCAGTACCAAAATGAATCTGTTTAGTCCTAAGCTTCTATATACCTTTTTTTGTTGTTGTGTGTGTGCTCTGTTTAACAATAGAGCTAGCTGTGATTGTTAGTGGTTTGTTTTATCACCAAAAAGCTGATTCGGATTGAGATCTCATGGATTGGTGTTTCCACTTTATTCCGTTTCTAGATGGCCAAGTCCAACTCTATAATTCATTTTGTGTTTGATGAAGTATTCTTTCTCAAGCTAAAGTTTTTTTTTTTATTTTTTATCCGCTTTATAAGCTCTAAAGAGGATAATTTTCTCTGTTCTGTGCTCTCTTCTTATTTCAAGTTGCCAAATTTTCTTTTAGCAAGAACGTACATCTACACAAATCGTATGCTTCCTTCTTCATTTGCTCTCAAATCATGTGATAAGTAAGAAAGCATTTTGACATATTTTGCAGGTTAGATGGAAATTTTTAGCTGATGGAGGAAAATCTGGCTTGAGCAATTAACGAGCTTACATCATGATGGTCTCACTCCCACACTGGTGGGATTATGTGTGAATGATTGTCAACAGACCCATCTTTTCTCTCACTTCATTTGATTTTCTTGAACTATCTCCTGTTTCCTATATACATAGTTTGGATTTTAGCTCCTTTAGGGCAAATCTCCTTTGGCAAATAGTACAACTAGTGAAGTTTCTCCCCTTAGGTGGCTTTCATACAAGTCATTTTCTCCGTGGACACTTCACTTTTGGGGCATATCTCCTTTGGCATATCTCCTTTGGCATTTTGGAACTCCAGTTACCTGTTGAGTTCCCCTTTGAAGTTCAATCCAACTGGATATACTTCATTCCATTTGTTTCGGCAAATCTCCTTTGGCATTTCAGAGTCCTCAGTTTGGCTCCACCTTTATCCCTAGTCGAGCAAATCTCCTTTGGCATTATCCGAGTCCACAGCTGGCTCACGTTATCAGTATCAGAGCAAATCTCCTTTGGCATTTTCCGAGTCTTACACTTGACTCCTTTACTATCTTTAGACTTTAGTCACGGTTCCCAGTTTCAAGATTTTGAAGTAGTCCTTTGCGTATCCGTCATAGACGCATCTATCAAAGTTACTTCAGGGAAGAAAGAGACACCATTATATTAAGGTCAGAATATTTCATATCTTATATCATTTGCTTCTGTTTGAGTTTTTTCTTGCACTTTGATGAAAGTCTAGTTCCATCGCAGGCATCTAAAACTATGGATATGAACCTTACTGACTCCGACTGGGAGAGCTCTAGCGACAGTGGTAGCAGTGAACACGAAGAAGTGGAGTTTTCTTATGGAGGACGGGCTCAAGACATCTTCTCAAACCTTGAAGAAACCATTGGCAAAATCGATGATTTCTTGTCTTTCGAGAGGGGATTCATGTACGGTGACATTGTGCGTTCCACAACTGAGCCCTCAGGACAAAGTGGCAGGGTTATCAACGTGAACATGTTTGTCAATCTCGAGAGTATTCATGGAAAGATCGTTAAGGAAGTTGATACCAAGAAGCTTCAAAGGTTACGTTCTATCTCACTCTGTGATTATGTGATTAACGGTCCTTGGCTAGGAAGGGTTGACAAGATAGTTGAGCGTGTCTCTGTCACCCTTGACGATGGTTCCAACTATGAGGTCCTTGTAAGGAATCAAGATCAGCTTGTGGCCATTCCTCCAAATATGCTAGAGGATTCTCAATATTCTTATTATCCAGGGCAGAGAGTTCAGGTAAAGCTGGCTCATGGTGCCAGATCAACCTCATGGCTATGTGGGAACTGGAGGGAGAACCAAGCTGTGGGGACTGTAAGCTCTGTAGAAGCAGGACTTGTCTACGTTGAGTGGGTTGCCTCCATCATCATGGGTGGTGGTGATAGGAATTTAACTGCACCTCAAGCTTTGCAGAGTCCTGAGAGTTTAACTTTGTTACCATCTGTTTCTCATGCAAGTTGGCAGCTTGGTGACTGGTGCATCCTCCCTGGCTCGTCCCACTCTGATATAGAAGAACTACAAAAAGGTTTTAGCAGAAACATGCAGAGATCAAGCTCTGATGAGCTTTTTGTTATCACCAAGACAAAGATGAAGGTTGATGTTTTGTGGCAAGATGGTGGATGCAGCATGGGAGTTGATTCGCAGCAGCTGGTTCCCGTTGGAGCTGTTAATGCTCATGATTTTTGGCCTGAGCAGTTTGTTGTGGAAAAGGAAACGTGCAACAGCAAAAGATGGGGAGTTGTGAAGGTTGTCAATGCAAAGGAACAGACTGTGAAGGTACAATGGGCTGAGAAAGAAGCAAGTGAGCAGATGGAGGAAATTGTCAGTGCATATGAGCTGCTCGAGCACCCTGATTTTGGATTCTGTTTCAGCGATGTGGTGTTCAAGTTAAGTCCAGAAGCAAAAATTGATCCAAATGCAGGCACAATCGTTGCTACAGAGACGAAACACCAACTTACAGAGAGTGACTACAGTGGCGCATATTGTTTGTCAAGCATTGGTGTTGTTTCAGGTTTCAGTAATGGTGTTGTGGAGGTGAAATGGGCCAATGGTTCTACTAGTGAGGTATGTATTAGGCTCTGCTTATATATCCAGTCTATGCTGAACGTTTACCCAATTGAATCAGTAAGGTTTAATATTCTGTTAAAATGTTTCTTTTAAACATTTGTATTCCAGGTTGCACCATATGAAATTTGGAGGATGGAAAGATCTGAATTTTCCAACTCTAGCACTATAAGTTCTGCAAGTAGTGTTCAAGATCTAAGTCAGAAGATAGGTCAATCAGATGAATCATCTTCAAACCATCAAGAAACGGTAAATCAATACCTTTCAGCATCTTGCTAGCTCAAATTTTCTGATGTTTCATTGAGATATTTATAATTCCTTATATAGTTCTAGAGCCATGAGGAATGTATCAGTGTATTCCCATAGCAGAAAATATCTTTATATCCACTAGACTTATATGATACATGTATGTTCAGGGTTTGGTGAGTCTCTACAGTGTTGGTGAAAGCTGCAACAAGAACGTTCCTGAATCTAGTTCATTTTTCCTTCCGAAAGCTGCCATCGGATTCATCACAAACCTTGCTTCAAGCCTTTTCGGTTCTAATGGTTCCACTTCTGCTTTAAGTTCGCATTCACGTTGCAATGACACTGAAGATCTAACCGACTCCGAGGTCCTTGTTCAAGAAGCAACAGAAACACATGACATCTCTGAATCTAAATCAGATGAAGTGGATATGGACATGATGGTCAACTTGCCTATAGTAGGAAAACGAGTTACCAAGACACTAGATTCAACTCTTCTGGACAACAGCACGAATCTAGTGAGCTTTAAACAATTTGATATGGTTACTGACTGCTCAGACCATCATTTCTTTTCTTCGGCGAAAGAGTTGGCGCAACCCCCGGTAAGACTCTTTGAGACCAACATTTGAACATTCTGAGATCAGCTAAATGACACTATTTGTATGTTCATCTCTTATTATAGGTAACAAAGAGTTGGGTGAAGAAAGTCCAGCAAGAATGGAGCAATTTGGAAGCAGATCTTCCCAGTTAGTCCCTACACTTCTATTTATGCATGTTCTGTTATTGTGTTTGAAGTAAATAACTGAACTTGACTTTTTTTTTGTGATGAACAGACACAATATACGTGCGTGTGTATGAAGAAAGAATGGACCTTATCCGTGCAGCCCTAGTTGGTGCCCCTGGAACACCATACCATGATGGGCTTTTCTTTTTCGACATAATGCTTCCACCACAGTATCCTCATGAGCCTCCAGTGAGTTTCACCTGCTTTAACTTCTCTGTCACTCACACTAGCATTTGATATGTGTTTATTTTGGACTATGAAAGTATTTTGTATTTACATTGCCAATTTTTTTTCTCCCTCTTTGAATACAGATGGTACATTATCATTCAGGTGGGATGCGACTGAATCCTAACCTGTACGAGTCAGGAAGAGTCTGCTTGAGTCTACTGAATACATGGAATGGCTCTGGCACTGAAATGTGGAACCCAGTGAGCTCCTCCATCCTTCAAGTCCTTCTCTCGTTTCAGGCACTTGTTCTGAATGAGAAGCCTTACTTCAACGAAGCTGGCTATGATAAGCAGTTGGGCCGAGCTGAGGGAGAGAAGAACTCAGTGAGTTACAATGAGAATGCTTTCCTCATCACCTGCAAATCCATGATCTCGTTACTCCGCAAGCCTCCAAAGGTATGTTCTGTTGCAAAAAAACTCTTAACACAAAATGAAAATTACCAGTAAGTGACCACTTTGATCAACTCTCTGTATTGTTTGCTTTGTAGCATTTTGATGTACTTGTGAAGGACCACTTCACGCATCGTGCTCAGCATGTTCTTGCTGCGTGCAAGGCTTACATGGAAGGCGTCCCTGTAGGATCATCAGAGAAACTGCAGGAGAGCTCAACCACAAACTCCACCGGTTTCAAGATCATGCTCACTAAACTCTACCCAAAACTTGTCGAAGCATTCTCAGAGATTGGAGTTGATTGCAGCCAAGGGGTTGCACTGGAACCATGAAGGTTGACACTGTTAGTAACATCTCCCTAATATCCAATTAGTACTGTATAATATTGGTTTCCGAGGTTGGTTGGTAAGTCCCTTCCCATGTAGAATATGTTTTTGTACTAAAAATGTGTGAGAATAAAGAAGGCTGAACATAGGCTCATCTTGTATAATATCAAAATGATTGTAGTTTTGCAAGAACAATGTACCATATTTTGGAATAAAAATGTAACACTTGTGTTTGTATATTTGCCTTTACCTTTACCAATAGTCTAGACATGAACAAGAACCATTTTGGAAATGGTGGAACCTAAGCTTATCTCGCACTATGATCTGCCTATTGGATACAATAGAAATGTACTTGAAAGCAGAGTGACAATCCTCACAGATGCGCAGATTCTTCACAACTGTAATGGCTTCATCTACGGTCTTCAACAATCCAAATGCTACAGCAAGCTTCTCACTGTGGTATAGAAGTGCGTACTCTTTTTCCTCTTCCTCTACTTGATGCATCACTTCTTCAGAAACAGGTGCATACCCAATTTCCTTGCACCGGCTCATCAGATTTTCCAGATACCTATAAATTTCTCCAGTCTCTGGATGAGACTCATCACCCATACTGAACATATACGTCTTCTTTCCGACTTCAATAACACTATACCCAACCTGTTTTCTAAGGTTGTTCTTTATCATTCCATCTCTGACGTGAGATACTTCATCTGTTTTCCCACTCAAGGCGTAGATATTTGACAGCATGACATGATGACCTGGATTTTCTGGCTCAAGGGCTATGAGCCTCTTGGCGATTTCTACCCCAAGATCATAGTTCCTGTGCATCTTGCAAGCTCCAAGCATCGCTGTCCACAACGCTGGAGCCTTTGCTTTCCCATTAGCATCAAGTTGCTGTATGAACCTATAAGCTTCCTCAAGAAATCCAGCACGCCCAAGCATATCAACCATACAAACATGATGTTCAACTCTTGGAACCAATCCATATCTCTTGCTCATTCTCTTGTAAACCGAACGTCCTTCCTCAACAAGTCCAGCATGTGCACAAGCAGATAAAACCGCTACAAACGTTACATCATTAGGTATTACACCCTTATCATCCACCATTTTATTAAAAAGATCTACTGCTTGTTTTCCACATCCATGAGTACCATAAGCAGAGATCATCGCCGTCCACGCCGCCACATTAGTCTCCTTCATCTTATCAAACACTCCCCTCGCCTTCCCAACATCACCACACCTCGAATACAAGTTAACCAACGCAGTACCGAGCTTGACATTCATCTCAATACCCTTATCAACAATATACCCATGCACCCAAGAACCCAAACCAATCCCCCCAGTCTGCGCACAAGCCGATAAAACACTCACAAACGTCGCCGAATCCGGCTCAAACCCTGACTCCCTCATCTCACAAAACACACGAATGGCTTCCTCCCCAAACCCGTTTTGCTCCAACCCAGAAACAAGCGAGTTCCACGCCACAACAGACTTCACAGGCATTTCATCGAACACCTTCCGTGCACCTCCCACATCCCCACACTTCCCATACAAACCAACCAAAGCCGCCTGAACATAACTATCAAACCCAAACCCAGAAACCACAGCATGACAATGAACTCCCTTTCCAATCCTCAACGCCGCAAGATCCGCGCAGGACTTGATAACCGATGTAAAAGTGTAGTTACTCGGAGATACGTTACAAGACAACATACGACGGTAGTAAGCAAGACAATCCAAGGGAAGACGCGATTTCGAAGCTGATTTGATGATTGTGTTGAAGAGGAAGTCGTCGGGGAGAGGAACAGAGAGGAAGAGGAGGTGAGTGTAAGCGAAGGCTTTGGTGGAACAGGCGAAAGTGATGAGCTTTGTTAAGAGACTTCTGCTACGACCGTAGCCAGTGACGATGAGGTGAGAGTGGACTTGTTGGAGTTGGTTTAGACGAGGACCTGCGAGGATGATGGCTTTGTAGGCAGCTGAGTTCGCTGCGTGTTTGGTTTTCATTGAGAGTTGAAAGAGCAACTGCGAGGCTTGTAGACTTTGCAGTTGTCACCTCACGAGCTGCGACGTCGTTTCTATTTCTCAGCTTGCTATATCAAATCCTAATCTATACTATTATTTGAGAAGTAAACTCATGTTCTCCATAAGTTTATGCAATTTTATTTATTTATTATATTTTTAATATTATATATAATTTATTTATAAATAAAACGAATTTAGATGAATATATAATATTTTAGAAAATAAGATAATTCTTGTGAATTATGTTTGTATATTGAAATATATTTTTATCTATAAAACTTAAATTTTTTAAGATAAAAAATTATTTATTTACTAGGTGTTGTGCCCGCATATGCGGGCATAATTTTGTTACGAATATTTATTATTTTTTGTTTTATTAATTATAAATAATATTATAAATTATATTTTATCGTTTTAAAAAATCTAAATCAAACAGTAATACAATTTTATATGAATTTTCATCAAAATCTATATGTTTATTATAGTATTGAAAAATATCCACATAATAAAATATTTTTTAAAAATATATTTATATTTTTTCTTAATATTTAATTTTAAATTGCTTTATAACTTACATTTTTATTTTTCATAATAAAAATATTATTTCCAGATAACTGTATAATATTCTATATGATATGTTATGTTTTAAATATGCATGATTGTGGATAATTATCCTACTAATTTATAATAAATTAACTAATATAATAACATATAAATTTCAGTCACTAACATAAAATCCGTTTTAACTAATTTATATAAAAATATATAAATTTCATTCAAGATATCATTTAAGTCTAAATATATTTAATTAATCTAATATTTATAATCGAATTTATTAATCTCTTATATTGCGTAGATTTTTTAATTTTTTCATTGCATAATATCTAATATTTGATTATATAATTAAAAGTTTCTTTATACAAATTTTTTTTATTAATATTTAACTAAAATCAATTTTTTATTTTAATTTTTAAATTTTATAATAGAATGATATTATTTTCAAAAGCCAAAATAAATTATATATAAAATTAAGATATATAGGCATTATCATGTTGTTACAATATTATATTTAGATAATAATAACATATATAAGAATTTTTTTTTTAACTTATTATATTACTTATTCTTAGTTATCTAAGATAATAACATACTTATCTAATTTTATTTTTTAAATTTCGTTTTTAATTATAAAATTAGTTATATATAAAATTTCATTAAGGGTAAAATAGATATTAATCGCTCTAACTTTTAATGTGAGAGCTACGTTGCGAAAAGTCACTTCGCAAATAATAGTATAGATTATATAACTAAAAAGAATTTATATTAATAATTTTATATTTTTCTAAAATAAGATAAATCTTATGTATTATGTTGTTATATTGAAAATATATTTTCCTATCATAAAACTTAAAATTAAGATATAAAAACTAGATTATTAATAATTAAATATAAATCATCAGAATAATTATTTGAAAAGTGAATTTATTGATTTGTCTCCATGATCTTAGGTACTTTTGATCATTTGTCAGAGTTTCTCTATTTTTTTTTAATATTGATTATTTAATTAAAACCAATTTATATTAATAATATGATATTTTCGAAAATAATTTAATTCTTATGTATTATGTTGTTATCTTGAAAATATATTTTTCTATTATAAAATTTAAAATTAACATGTAAAAATCTATACTATAAAATTTACTGATTTGTCATATTTTCCATGATTTTAAGTAATTTTGGTAATTTATCATAATTTCTATAATTTATATATAATTTATTATATAGTCAAAACAAATTTATATTAATAGTATCAGATTCTTAGAAAATAAGATATTTCTTATATATTAAGTTGTTGTTTTGAAAATATATTTCTCTATTACAAATTTAAAATTAAGATATAAAAAGTTGTAGTTATTCTATAATTTCAATAAATTTACACTAATAATATACCTTTAGAAAATAAGATAATTCTTATGTATTATGTTGTTATCTTGAAAATATACTTTTATATTATATAATTTAAAATTAAAATAGAAAAATTATATATTGTTAATTAAATATAAATCATCACTCAAGAAAAAATATTTAAGAAGTGAATTTGCTGATTCATTAAGTTTTCCATGATTTTAGGTAATTTTAATTATATTTCATAATTTTTATAATCTTATATAATTAAATTTTTATCATATTATATTTTTTAGAAAATAAATAACCTATGCATTATATTGTTATCTTGAAAATATGTTTTTCTAATATAAAATTTAAAATTAAGATAGAAAATTACAATTGAATATAAATTAAGTAAAAAAATTTGTATAATATTATAATTAAATATAAATTAAGAAAAATAATTATAGAAATATATTCTTTTAAATCTTTCTCATGTTTGAGTTTTGTCTTTAATAATTGTTTGATGTTTGATTTGTATTTTTGAAAACATAAATAATAACTTATTAGGTTGGTTTTTAAATTAATGAAATACCAATTAATAAATATTTATAAAATAATTATGCCCGCAAGTGCGGACAAAACACCTAGTTGTAAATAATGCTTGAATAGATCATGTAAGATGGTATAAAATGTATATCTGAAATATTATTAATCGAACTCGAACAGGTACGCCAAAAGAGTTTGAAAGTTTGATAATTTTGGCTCAAAAAACCGAATTAGTATCTGAAAAACTAAACAAATATCTTGTGTATCTTTATTTTGATACTAAGTGTGGTTCGACATCTTGTGCAGACGAATTTATTTTTTAATAATTATTTTTAATGCTAATTGGTATATCCATGCTAATTTATGTAATGAAAAAAAAAATTGTATTTTTGTGTGTGTTTTCGGTTTTCTTTAATTAAATCTCGGTTACTTGTCTGGACTTATTTTTCTTATGGTTTATGCATGATTCTTCTATTTGGAGGTTAAATTATTTGCTTGACTGAATCCAATTTTGGCAGAGTTTCTTCTAATATTGAAGAATGGTGATATTTGTCTAATTTTAACATTTTTGGCTAGAGTTTTCATGGTAGTTCACATACATACAACGTACTCATCTAAAGAGTCTTTAGTTTAGTTTAGTGGTAAATGTTGTCTGCAACGTAGAAGTATGCAGAGAATTTAGATAAAATTCAATAATACATTACCATGATTTGCATGATGGATCTTCGATAGTGATGACATACAAAGCTGCTCCTGCCTTAGAACCACGTAGAGATTATGATCCTTGTCTAATCAATTTAGATACTGTTATTTAATTATGTATTTGAATAGAATTTAAATCTAAATATAATCAATTGTTATTCAAATGATGATTCTAAATTCTGTTTTAAAATCTAGTGTTATTCAATGAATGAATTAAATTTAGTTTTTAAAATCTAGTGTTATTCAACAGTTAAAGATTTAAATTTTTTGTATTTTGAATTGATTTCAAATAATTTTCGATGGATTCCGATGAACAAATGAATAAATTCAAAATCCAAGGCATACTGCATAAATTTAGAATCTATCAATTTAAATTTTCTTAAAATTTTAAATTTTGATGGATTACAAAACATTAATAATTGATTTAAAAATACTCATTGAATAACACCTCCTTAATATTTTGTAATGTTTAATTAACAGAGCCATAAATCATAAAAAATATTAAATTGAAAAATAACAATTAACACCAAATCAATAAGTAATACAAATAAATAAATAAAAAGATAATATACTAATTAAGTTGAAACAACCTTTTGTAGTTTTATATGTATTCTAAAATTTTAACACATTTTTTTGTCGACGTTCATTTTCATTGATTTTGCCCAAATGTGCTTGGTGTCAACATTTATAAATTAGTGAACGTCCAAAATCATAAAATTAAAAAGCCCAAATAAAACAAAATTCCACAGCTTTTAATTTTTCCATGCGTTCGACGGCGTCTTCGACATGAGTTTTACATGTTAGAGATGGCATATCTCGGTCAGCATCACTATCGCTGTCCTCCTAGAAATTAACTAAAAGAACTCGTTTAGTTTAACTAAACAACTCGTTTACTCCGTCACGAACCTCTCCTAAAATAGAGCAAGTATGCTATCTAAATATGATATCTAATATGATATGATACTTAAATAGAACCAAATATGAATGTTATAACTAAATTAAAAGTAAATATATTATAAATAAAAAGTTTTGGCTTGAGTTATTATGTGTCCAAAATATAACTTTTTGTTATCTTTCAATTTATATTACCAAAACAGCAAGAATTAAATTTATATTACAAAAACAGCAAAAAAATTTAATCATTGGCACATTAAGAAACAAACATGTCAGATTACTCCTACCAGCTATATATCAAAAAAGTCTAATTCAAGACTAGTCCGACAAGACTTTATTCCATGAAATGTAACTTCACAATATGGTAAACAAAATTAAGAGAGATGACACATCAAATAGAGAGACAATGTCCATTTCAAAAAGATAGTATGTATTTGAACTTTCATACATATTAAAATTCATTATTAGTGCATTTTGTTTTGTAATTAGCTATTTTCAACAATTTTACTAATAAACTTTTACACAGTTATTATTTGAAATTTAAAATTCACCATTTATAATATATTTTATATTGACAATTGATTAATTCAATTTTATGTTTTCCTACAAATCATTGTAACCAAAATTTGAATCAAAATAACTGATTAACTAGATTAAACCGAACTAAACGGAAAAACTGAGTTTTTAAACTAAAATAAAGTTGAAGTCAAAAAATTCAATTAATTTCGATTTTACTTTTATATCCAAACCTTTCAAATGCCGAATAAAACCAAAGTTTCACTGAATTTAAATAGGCATAATTTGATAATTTAAACAAATTAATCAAAACTGAATAGTTCGAATAATATATGCATATCTAATTCCTACTATCTGTGGAGAGTGATAATCAAAAACTAATAATCTATAAAAGTGATATATAAAAAAATTACGATAAGTCAAAAGACAAACACTAAAACTATTTCTAAAACCTTCCGATAATTTTAAAATATGAAATTTAATGGTTAGTGTCTAGTGAATCTATCTTATCTTGCAGCTAAACCTATCTTCTTCAATCACATCTAAATTAAGATACTATTAATTAGTGTCTCGTGTCCAAATTAGAATTTGTTCTATCTTCTTTCTATTGCAACATTTTAGATGCTTTGGTTGCATCCTAATGTCCTGCTATAAATATGAAATGTTAGAATTAGTTTTTGATTTGGAGAGGTTTGGAAACTGGAACGGTGTAAAACGATTTACAGTGTCTTATGTAATTATTATTATAATATACTATATGTGAATGTTAATGTTATTGTATTGATAATCTCAACAGAGATGAGTTACATATATACATGATACAGGTCCTATACTCTAGGAAGTGGCTACAATATAGGAAATAGTTGTAGACATGGTCAAGTCATGTAGACGTGGTCAAGTGATGGTATATTCCTAGTAGATTCTAATTGCTTTAATACTATATAACTTCAAGAGCAGCTATCATCCATGCGTTTTGCGGATGCTATCACTAAAACCAAATTAACCGTTCAAAGTTCTATATGTCACCCCGATTTGAGTTTTCAAATCATCTTTCAGATTAGAATAATTATTGTTAGCAAAAGAAAAAAAAAAAAATGTCTCTTACAAAAACTGCGGTTGGTTGACCAAAACGCGCAGTTTCGGCGTTTCATTTAAGAATCCCACTTCACTTCAACTTGAACTTCCAACTGGTCAAAACTCTTTTTGGCATGCGAATATATGCTACGTCTATCACATCATAATACTACAAGAAGAAGTGAATGAACCACCTAACAAACACATGTTATGAGCAAGAAGATGAAGACCACTCTTGTAATCATAAACTGTATAATCCTGGCCACTGGAAACTGTGGAGGCCCTCTAATCATGCGTCTCTACTTCCGAAACGGTGGCAACCAAATCTGGTTCTCTAGCTTCCTCCAAACCGCAGGCTTTCCCATCATACTCTTCCCTCTTCTCTTCTCCTTCTTCCACCGCCGCACAGAAGAAGAAGAAGCAAAGAACCCATTATTTCTCATTAAACCTCCTCTGTTCTTGGCCTCTGTTGTGGTTGGTCTTCTCACTGGCCTTGACAATTACCTCTACGCTTACGGGTTAGCTTACCTCCCTGTTTCCACTTCTTCTTTGATCGTCTCCTCTCAGTTAGCCTTCACTGCTCTCTTCGCCTTTTTCATGGTGAAACAAAAGTTCACACCTTCTACTATAAACGCCGTCGTTTTGATTACTCTCGGTGCCGGAATCCTTGCCCTTCACACAGACGGTGACAAGTTTGCCAAAGAAACAAACAAGGAGTATATTGTTGGGTTTGTCTTGACCCTTGGTGCAGCTATTCTCTACGGGTTTATATTGCCTCTTGTGGAGCTCTCTTACAAGAAAATTAGTCAACGAATCAGCTACACGCTCGTCCTCGAGGTGCAGATGGTCATGTGCCTTTCAGCCACTTGCTTCTGCCTCGTTGGGATGCTAGCTGATGGAGGTTTCAAGGTAATATGCTCTGTTTTTTGCATAATCAGCTCTGTTTTCCTTTATATGCTCTGTTTTTTCTTACTATGCTCTGTTTTTTTCTTAATATGCTCTGTTTCTAATATGCTTGTGTTAATCTGCAGGTGATAGAAAAAGAAGCAGGAGAATTTAAGCTTGGAGGGTCAACGTATTACTATGTGGTTGTAGTGTTCACGGCCATAATCTGGCAAGGCTTTTTCTTGGGAACTATTGGGATGATCTTCTGTACATCGTCTCTGGTCTCTGGAATTGTGATCAGTGCTCTGCTTCCGTTGACGGAGATCTTGGCCGTTCTTTTCTACAGGGAGAAGTTTCAGGTGGAGAAAGGTATCTCATTGTTTCTCTCGCTTTGGGGATTCCTCTCTTACTTTTACGGACAGATAAAATCCGAGAAGAGGACTCAGACACAGGATCAGGCTCAAGAGACACAACTGTCTCAGCTTCTAGTTACTGACTCTGTTGCTTAAAAGCACATAACATGTTATACTTAAAGTTTCTATCAGTGATGTGTTATTTTCCTAATGATCTTTGTAAAAGGCACATGACTGTAACATCTATGGTTCTCAACCTTTTCATGATTTCTCTGTTTGATGTGGTGGCTGGACTGGACTTGCTAGGTTTTATTCAAACCTCGCATTAACTGTCATGGCTGGTTTGGTCATATCCATGAGTAACTTAGATTTATTTTATTAAGAGATCTGGTCCAGTGTATTATATGTAAACCCTAAGCAAATGAGTGTTGCAAGAAAATCTTAACATATGTTAAAATCTTACAAATTCTTAGGGTTTACATATAATACACTTTTAACATATGTTAAGATTTTCTTGCAACACTCATTTGCTTCCTACTATTTCTAGCATAGACTTAGCTACTAGAGAGTGGGGCTGGGCATTTTATCCGTTATATTTGATTCGATTCGTTATTCGTTACGATTCGATCCGAAAATTCCGGATATCCGTAAACTTTCGAATCAAAGCAAATACTAAAATTCAATATCCGCTAAAATCGTATCAAATCACAAATATTAAAATCTTGGGAAGCGGATATCCGATCCGATCCGGAAATATATAAATATATGTATATCTTGACTATATTTAACATTTTAAATGTATAAAATTATATAATTATTATTCTAGCACATGATTTTGAACAATTCTATTCATATTAATATTTATATAAAAGTATTACATAAAGAGAGAGAAAATTTANAGCGGATATCCGATCCGATCCGGAAATATATAAATATATGTATATCTTGACTATATTTAACATTTTAAATGTATAAAATTATATAATTATTATTCTAGCACATGATTTTGAACAATTCTATTCATATTAATATTTATATAAAAGTATTACATAAAGAGAGAGAAAATTTATGACAATTATATTTTTTCTTAAATTTTGTATTATTATAATTGTAACTTAAACTTCAAGAAAATTACAAAATATGTAAATTCACTAGTTCTTTTAATTTTTATATTATATATCATGCAAAAAAATATTTTTGCAAAGTAAATTTGTATCAAAATCTTAAGATTCTTTGTATTAATCAAAATGGATGAGATATCCGTAAATATCCGCAAATATCTATTTATTTTCCGAATATCCGTTTTTCCGGATATCCGTATTTTTTCGAAGCAAAGCAAATACCAAAATTAGATATCCGTAACATTCGAATCAAATCACAAATACCTTTAAAAAACTCGGATATCCGATCCGTGTCCACCCCTACTAGAGAGGTACTCAAGAAAAACGTTACATAAAAAAATGCAATTGAAGTCAAAAGACTAAAAAAGTTAAAACCATCAACTACTTTTCAAATGAAAATTTAGTGGTAATCTATCCTAGGAATCGAATCTTCCACCTAGACGCATCTTTCTTCTTCTGTCCAAGTCTGAATTTGCTATATCCTATTTCTACTGCAATGTTTTTGATGCATTGATTGATTGCATCCAAAATGTCTTCTTCCACATATAATTCTTCCAAAAATCTGAAATAAATTACAACTTCACTCCAAACATGTTCACATAGACGCACACATCATGAAATAGTTGACTGTTAACGTTTGGTTTTATAATTTACTAATTCTCGTTTGTTGTAATGTAGTTAACTTATTTTAAATATGATGGTTCATCTCTCAAAACGCGCGGGAATAAGACCATCTGCAATGGTTGATCTTTATGGGAGAATCCTTAGATAAATATTAATTTTATAATTAATGGGTCTCATGAACAGTTAATGATTTTATCCTAAAAATCTTTATGTAAGGATTGATTCTTACACTATTCATGGGTTCCACTGCACACGTGGCGATCCGTGAGTGGTCAATTTTTTTTTTTAAGAAAAAATCTGAAATATCCCTATATAATCCGAAATACTCTTTTCTCTTTTTTCCTAAGGATTCTCCCCAAAAATCCGACATTGCGGATGCTCTAAGTAGCCAGACACACAAGGAGTATGTTGTCGGTTTCATTATGACCTTTGCTGCATCTATTATCTACGCGTTTATATTGCCACTTGTGGAGCTCACTTACGAGAAAGTTAGTCAACGAATCAGCTCCACGCTCGTTCTCGAGGTGCAGATGGTCATTTGCTTTTCAGCAACTTGCTTCTGCCTCGTTGGGATGCTAGCTGATGGCGGTTTCAAGGTAATATGCTCTGTTTTTTTCTTCTTCTAAATATGCTCTGTTTTGATCTTGAGAGAGTAGGATTCAAGAATCAAGAACTGGGATGATTAAGTTGTTGTTAATTTGCAGGTAATTGGAAAAGAAGCAAGAGAGCTTAAGCATGGAGGGTCTACGTATTACTGTGTGGTTGTGGTGTTCACGGTCATAGTATGACAAGGCTTTTTCTCGGGAACTATTGGGATGATCATGATCTGACTTAACTTCTTAACGTTTTGAATCGATCAATAATCACGCGGTCCATTCCAAAACTTTACACAAAATCCTCTGACTTGTTTGTTACTAAGTAATGTATTAAAACAAAAAACTCTCGAATAATATTATCAAGAAGTAACTAAAAAACGTGAGAGACTTGACGTATATATACTTTGACGTCTACATCTAGATCATCATCAGTTCATCACCATCTTCGTTGCCATCGTTAACATCACTGATGGAAACTTATGTTGATCCCTAAGGTATCATCTACTCTGTTTTTTTTTTTTGAAACATCATCTACTCTGTTATCATGTAAATATAATAAAGTAGATATATTATTGGGTTATGTTTGATATGAGAATATAAAATCATATATACATCAGTAATATTGACATAATATTAACACAAGATAATACTATTATTTTTGCTAAACGTTTAATATAACTATGATAGCAATATCTTGAAATAAATTTCTTTTAGTTTTTTGGCCCAACATATCTCTAATAATTTTCTTTCAACACTAATTTGGTTTCTACTATTTCCGGGATAGACTCTTGGCTACTAGAGAAATACTCTAGAAAAACGTTACATAGAAATTTGCAGAAAGACTCAAAAAAGTTATAACCATCAAATACTTTTTAAATTTTGTGGTTGTTATCTAGTGAATTTATCCTAGGGATCGAACCTTCCAGCTAAACGCATCTATCTTCTTCGGTCACCGCTTGATTAAAATGTCAATTTGCTATATCTTCTTTCTACTGCAAATGTTTTTGATACATTGATTTGATTGCATCCAGAGTCTTCTTCCACATTTAATCCTTCCAAAAAAACATGAAATAAATTACACTACACTCCAAACATGTTCACATGGACGCATACATCATGAAATAGTTGGCTATTAACGTCTGATTTTATAATTTACTAATTCACGTTTTTTTTTGTAAAATGTAGTTAACTTTTTTTAAATCTAATATTATTATTATAAATTCATTTTTAATTATATATAAAATTCATTAAGGGTAAAATTAATATTAACCACTCTAATTTTTAACGTGGAAACTACATTGCGAAAAATCACTTCCCAAATAATACTATAGACTCCACACCACACTTCAACTTTAGCTAATAATGGACTTACGTCAAAACTCTTTTTTCTGCATGCGAATATGCTATGTCTATCACATAAAAAGACTATAAGAAGAACCACCTAAACACACACACACAAATACATGTTATGATCAAGATGAAGATAAAGGTGAATATGAAGACCGGTCTTGTAATCATAAACTGCATAATCCTCGCGGTTGGAAACTGTGGAGGCCCTCTAATGACGCGTCTCTACTTCAAAAACGGTGGCAGCAAAATCTGGTTCTCTAGCTTCCTACTAAACTCAGGTTTCCCCATCATCCTCCTCCCTCTCATCATCTCCTTCCTCCACCGCCGTAAAAAAGAATCAAAGACTCCGTTTGTGCTCATGAAGCCTCCTCTCTTCTCGGCCTCTGTTGTCGTTGGTCTGCTCACTGGCTTAAACAACTACCTCTACGCTTACGGGCTAGCTTACATCCCTGTTTCAACTTCTTCTCTGATCATCTCCTCTCAGTTAGCCTTCACTGCTCTCTTCACCTTTTTCATGGTGAAGCAAAAGTTCACACCTTTTACTATAAACGCCATCGTTTTGCTTACTCTCGGTGCCGTGATCCTTGCCTTTCACACCGACGGTGACAAGCTTGCCAAAGAGACAAAAAAGGAGTATGTTGTTGGGTTCGTCATGACTCTTGGTGCAGCTATTCTCTACGCGTTTATATTGCCGCTTGTGGAGCTCATTTACAAGAAAGTTCGTCAAAGAATCACCTACACGCTCGTGCTTGAGATGCAGATGGTCTTGTGCTTTTCCGCCTCTTTCTTCTGCCTCGTTGGGATACTAGCTGATGGCGGTTTCAAGGTAATATGCTCTGTTTTTTTTACTCAATATGCTCTGTTTTGATCTTTAGGATTCAAGAATCAAGAACTGTGTTTTTTTTTTTTTTAATTTTGTTAATCTGCAGGAGATTGGAAAAGAAGCAAGAGAGTTTAAACATGGAGGGTCTACTTATTACTGTGTGGTTGTAGTGTTCACTGCCATAGTCTGGCAAGGCTTTTTCTTGGGAACTATAGGGTTGATCTTCTGTACCTCGTCTCTGGTCTCTGGAATTATGATGACTGCTCTGCTTCCGTTGACGGAGGTCTTGGCCGTCCTTTTCTACAAGGAGAAGTTTCAGGCGGAGAAAGGTATCTCTTTGTTTCTCTCCCTTTGGGGATTCCTCTCTTACTTCTATGGACAGTTTAAGTCCGAGAAGAAGACTCAGACAAAGGATCAGGATCAGGATCAAGAGACACAACTGTCTCAGCTTCCAGTTACTGATTCTGCTGCTTAAAAGCACATCACAATGTTACACTTAAGTTTCTAATAGTTATGTCACTTATGTGTTCTCCTTTTCCTAATGAATTGTGTTTAAGGTACGTATCTGTGTTTTTTTTTTCTTTTTGAGAACTATAAATAAATAATTCATGTTATAACATATTGGTACATATCTGTTACATTTATGGCTTTCATGATTTCGCTCCATGATGTTGTTGGTTGGACCGGACCTGCTTGGTCATGTAACTGTCATGGCTCGTTTTTTCATATCCATGAAAAAACCTTTATGTTATTAATTGATCTTGGTCTAGATCACACTTCACACGTTATGCGTAACCCACACTAAAGAAACAAGTAAACAAATTTCAGTTAGTTTGTGTGATTGCTAAAGAAAAGAAAACAGCCCTCACTAGTATTCCTGATTTTCATTGACGTGCTCAGTTACAGATGGATTGCCTTGTTTTGATTTATCTGTTTAGCTTTATTACACTATATAAAAAAAATCTCATTAAAATGTTTTAAAAGAGAGAGTGTGTACCTGGTTATTAATAAGTCATGGCCAGATGCCAAAATAGGTTTGTCTTCATCCAAATAGATTTAATTAAGTGGATAACTTTTGGATATTATTGTTTCAAACTCAAATATATTTATGCTCACATACAATCAATCCATATAGAATTATGACTACTTGGACTGCCTGTGATCCATAAAATAAATTAGAAGTGTCAGATGGATTGCCCATGTCCAATAAATATATTTTGTTTGAACATTGATGACTTCTTCTAAATCAATTTAACCATACTTTTTAAGTATCTTGAGCCGACTAGTGACCACAATATCCATTCCGAAACTCAACACTGCCTTAAGTCCATCCATGACCAGTCAATTATGTATCAATGAACTTTCCCTGAACCTTGAAAGGGTTTGTAATCTGCCCCAAGCGAAATATCAAACTTTGCTCTTAACCGAAAGATGCCGACCCAAACTATTGGTGATGGGCCTAAAACCCTAGTAGGGGCTAAACATCAAACAAACATCCCAATTTGGGAGAAATTCGCAAATATAAAAGTCACAAAGGACATAAAGTGAAAAGAAAAGAAGGAGAAGACGACGAGAAAGAGATAAAAGAAGAAAACCGTCATAAATCTCTTCCTCTAGCTTTCCCCTCCTGCAAATCGACCAAGCGAAATAACCACCTCCCAAGTCTTCACCAAAACGATATGAAGCGATCGATCAACGACGTCGTCGCATCTTCATCGGATGCCAAAAAGCCCGTCTTCCTCACCAAAGCCCAACGCGAAGAGTTAGCCCTAAAACGCCGCCAAGACCAAATCTCCGATCAACGTCTCCGCCGCGACCAGATCCCTCCCTCTAATCCCGAGATTGAAGACTCGAACGATCGAGATCGAGATCGAGATCGCGAGAGGGAGAGAGACAGAGGTCGAGATCGAGATCGAGATCATCGCGATAGAGACAGAGAACGCGACCGTGACCGCCGCGAACGAGATCGAGATCCAGACCGACGAATCCGAGAACGAGAGCGAGAGGAAGAATCCAAGGCACGTGAGAAGGCACGTGTCGAGAAGCTAGTCGAGCGAGAGCGCGAGAAAGAGCTCGACGCGATCAAGGAGCAGTACCTCGGAGGGAAGAAGCCTAAAAAGCGAGTCATAAGGCCAAGCGAGAAGTTCCGCTTCTCCTTCGACTGGGAGAACACAGAAGACACTTCCCGCGACATGAACGCGCTCTACCAGAACCCTCACGAGGCTCAGCTCCTCTTCGGCCGCGGCTTCCGCGCGGGGATGGACCGGAGGGAGCAGAAGAAGCAGGCGGCCAAGCACGAGAGAGAGACGCGAGACGAGATTCGGAAGAAGGACGGCGTGGTGGAGAGGCCAGAGGAGGCGGCTGCTCAGAAGGTGAGGGAAGAAGCTGCCGACGCGTACGATTCGTTTGATATGAGGGTTGATAGGCATTGGAGTGATAAGAGGTTGGAGGAGATGAGTGAGAGAGATTGGAGAATCTTTAGAGAAGATTTCAACATCTCTTATAAAGGTTCGAGGATTCCTAGGCCGATGAGGAGCTGGGAAGAGAGTAAGCTGACTTCTGAGCTTTTGAAAGCTGTGGAGAGAGCTGGTTACAAGACTCCTTCTCCTATTCAGATGGCGGCGATACCGCTGGGGTTGCAGCAGCGTGATGTTATCGGTATTGCGGAGACTGGTTCTGGAAAGACTGCTGCTTTTGTTTTGCCTATGTTGGCTTACATTTCTAGGTTGCCGCCGATGAGCGAGGAGAATGAGACGGAGGGTCCTTACGCTGTTGTTATGGCGCCTACTAGGGAGCTTGCTCAGCAGATTGAGGAGGAGACTGTTAAGTTTGCGCATTATCTAGGGTTTAGGGTGACTTCTATAGTTGGTGGTCAGTCTATTGAGGAGCAGGGGTTGAAGATAACGCAAGGGTGTGAGATTGTGATTGCTACTCCTGGACGTTTGATTGATTGTCTTGAGAGGAGGTATGCTGTGTTGAACCAGTGTAACTATGTGGTTCTTGATGAGGCGGATCGGATGATTGATATGGGTTTTGAGCCTCAGGTTGCTGGTGTGTTGGATGCGATGCCTTCGAGTAATTTGAAACCTGAGAATGAAGAGGAAGAGCTTGATGAGAAGAAGATTTACAGAACGACGTATATGTTTAGTGCTACGATGCCTCCTGGGGTAGAGAGGCTCGCTAGGAAGTACTTGAGGAACCCTGTTGTTGTCACCATTGGTACTGCAGGAAAGGCCACGGATTTGATCTCGCAGCACGTGATAATGATGAAAGAGTCTGAGAAGTTCTTTAGGTTGCAGAAACTGCTTGATGAGCTCGGCGAGAAGACTGCTATTGTGTTTGTTAACACAAAGAAAAACTGTGACTCTATTGCTAAGAATCTGGACAAGGCAGGGTACCGTGTCACGACCTTGCACGGTGGGAAATCGCAAGAGCAGAGAGAGATCAGCTTGGAAGGATTCAGAGCGAAGAGATACAACGTCCTTGTTGCAACGGACGTTGTAGGACGTGGAATTGATATTCCTGATGTGGCTCATGTCATAAACTATGACATGCCGAAACATATAGAGATGTATACTCATCGTATTGGACGTACAGGACGTGCTGGGAAAAGCGGTGTTGCGACTTCGTTCCTGACTCTTCATGATACTGAAGTGTTTTATGATCTGAAGCAGATGCTTGTTCAGAGCAACAGTACGGTGCCACCTGAGCTGGCAAGACATGAAGCGTCCAAGTTCAAACCAGGTACGGTTCCTGATAGACCCCCAAGGCACAGTGACACTGTCTACATAAACTGAGTCGCTAGGCTCTGGATTTGTTCTTGAAATTTCCCAGACACTTTTATGTCCTTTACTGTTTAAGTGATCTCATGTGTTTAGTCGCATGTTATATCTTTCATGATTTGTAGACTGGTAGTGAAGGAAGCAGTAGTTGAAACTTGAGTAACTTTTGTTTTATTGCCAAAAAGTTTTTAACAAAATATTCTCGACAATCTCATATATGAAAGAAGACTCTAGAACACTGTAAAAGGTTGTATCGATCTGTAATAAGAGAAGTGTAGGATGCTATTGTATCAGATCCTGAGCTAGCTCCTATGAGGGCCTAAGTAGAGTCTCTCAGAACATAGTAAGAAGAGGAGTGTAGGATGCTATTATAACAGATCCTGAGCTAGCTCCTGTTGGTGCCTGAGATGGATCTGCAGGAAGAGGAGTGTGTATTGTGACAGAACCGGGGCTAACTCCTATTGGTCCACGAGAAAGGACGTGAAAATGAACTTTCCCAAAACATTCCAATTTCATCGTCTTTCTTCAGAGCCCTACTGCAGACAAAATCCACAAACCATCCACCACTAAGAACGTAGTATAGACACTTGGTCCGTTACTTATGACGCAGCTGATGCATAGTCATTGTCTCAGTGTCATGATCATACACGACCTTTAATCCACAGCCTCTTTAGGAGTTAGGACCAGCTTTCTGTAACACTCGGGAAGATATCTCAATCAAATCTCACATATGATTTCAAATAATTATTACATTTGAATAGTTCATCAAGGTCATGTGATATTTATTTTAAATGAACAAAAATTAAAAACTGAAATATTCATTATAAATTTCCATATGAAAAGTGGTTCTTATAATCATTTGTTTGTGAAAATGTACAGTGATCCATTATGTACATTGATGCCTCATGTAATCGGTTAAGAAGTTATATGATGAAATGAAATTATATTCAGAAGAAATATAACCTTTTAGCAGTTCCCCTGGAATAGTTTCTTGTGATCAAAATCTCACATATATAAGAATATAAAAAGTGTTTCAAAAAAGAATATGAAATATATTCGGTAAAGCATCATAAGAATAAGAAACATAAAAATAAACGTTAAGTAATACTACTAAACAGGAACAATAGAAAAATAAATGTAAAAGTGTCTTAATAAAAAAAAAATTGTAGTATGCTGGCTTTTTATCAATAACAACTTTCACCAAAAAAACTACACGCAACTAAAAGACCGAAAATTTCAACAATATACGATACAATCAATTGGTAACGTGGTTGGTAATTTTGCACGTGATCGTCTGCATGAATCAAAACGTGATACTACAAATAACGGTCAATCCTTCGCCTAACTTAGCAACAACAAGGCGTCGATTTTGAGGTAAGTGAACCTCTATTTTGTACAATATGAAAATGGTTTTCGATGAATGGTGGCACCGTTGAATGTTAATTTGTGTTTGTTATGACGTTCATTAAATTGGTGTCCAAAATCCTCAATGTCTACTGATTACAAAAAAAAAGACTTTCCATTGAATTGAATTATATTGTCACTTACTACATGTAAGCCACTAGACCCTTAGCACAATTTACTCCAAAGAAAGTTTATTTTGCTTACAGTAAATCTCTTCATTGAATTGAATTAACATTTGAACGTTTTGAGTAATTAAGATGCAAAATAGTATATTTCATCCATCTTACCAAACAATGTGTACGTATGTATTAATTAACAATTATCATACTAAACAATTAACGAGCTATAAATATCAATATAATACCAAGTCAAAGTCAGTATTGCTGTGGCAATTATTTAGACTACGGTATGGTATGGTCGTATCCGACCTGTACGTGTTGGAGTTGATTTGTTCGTGGGAAGTCTGCTTCTGGCTTATAATAATCAAGGTTGGCTCCGAATATAGGTAAGCCCTTACGTCATCTTGGTCTTTTTGCACACTTGGAGATTCTAATTGTCGGTCTTCTGATTTATTAATTTAGCGCAGTTAATTTATAATATAGTTCAGGTTATGTTTCTTTTGTCTTTAGGGTTATGATATTCAGTTTATTTCTTCAGCCACAAGTTCCAGATCGTGATTGAAAAATTACTCATTGACATCAATGCATGTAATGTAATGACAAGATTCCACCTCAGGGAAAAAAAAAACCCTCAATCACTTGGCACGAATCTTCCACAACTGCTTATAGAAACCACAAATAAAAACATAAATATATTAATAAAAGAGATTCACTGCAGATTCTGTTCTATTTTAATGATGAAATTGCGGAAAACTGTATGTAGCGAATAAAAACCGAACTTTGCTTTTAATCTCATAGCAGATCAGAGCATTAAGTGGCAAATCTGATGACCAGTCAGCAAACACGTGAAAGCTTCAAACATCGATGTGGTGTTTCCTGAATACGTTAAGTTTAATAATGAGATTACGAGATTTTGCTGAAAGCTCTATTTTTTTATTTTTTTTTAAGAAACTGGTTTATGTCTCGTTGAGTTGAGCTGGCTATACTTATCCCCCAGTCTACGACTTCATGACATGACAACCATGAAGTTTGTAGCTTCTTACTCAAAAAGTAGCAATATTTGTCTCTGTCAATTAGAGTATCCTTAACTCTTTTTGAATGGGCTCAGATTTCCTAGCGACTAATCGACTAAAGTTAGTGTACATGCACGAATGGTGGTTATATGACAAATCAGTGAAATGGTGGTTATATGTTGAACTACTAAGAAAACACAAACTTAGGCTTTTGTAACCCTAACTTTTCATTTATGAATATTCACAGTTTAGCAAAAAAAAAAATTAAAAAAAAAAACTACTAAGAAAAAAACACAAAATTATATCGCAGTATAATCCTTAGTTACCTTGACTTGATGATGGACAAACATGCTTTGTATAATATACTCTAGTCTCTAAATTAATTTATTAAAATTTTAAGAAATCGTCAGAGGTGTGCCAAAAATAAAGTAGCCAAACTCATTTGCTACTTTGTTTCTTATAAACATTAATATATAGATCAAGGATTTGAAACAGTCCTTTCTCACATGAATTAAACAAGTGGTATACATTATTTTTTGCTTGGGTCAGATCATACAGTTCTATTTCAAACAGAAACAAACATTAAATTCGGAAAAAAGTACTTATTGTAAATACTATCTCTTTCTTATCATTTATAGTTTACAGACGTACAGTACATACACTATCAACTTTGTGTTAATATTAAGAGATGAGGACAACATTAATACTATTACTACATGGCGAGTCACTCGCTACTACTCATATTATAAGTTTTGTTACGACAATATACAAGAGATGAATTTAAAAGAATTGTTTTTAAAGAACAACTTAATAATTATAAGGTTTGTATAAGGTATACTACATGATATCTTGGTCATAACTATTAAGTTGAAATAAAAAAAGTTATACAAGCTTCTCTCTCTCCCTATACTGGTCAACAAACAGATGCGTGTCTGTCTACATATAACATAGATGCAGGTATGAGAAATATTTGCTGTGCATTTTGCTTTGTACACCTTTGACTACAAAAATAAAAATAAAACATAAGAATTTATATCATCGGATGATGCCTAGTGGGAAGAGACCTCTTTCACCGGAACCAATGGCTCGAAAAAAAGAAGAGAAAGAAGATTTGTGTTGTTGCTCAACTTTGTCGGAGTCTGATGTGTCTGCTTTTGTCTCTGAACTCACAGATCAACCCACCCCACCATCCATGGATTCATCTTCTTCATCTCTTACCCCTCAAGGTAATCTCATATATTTGATCCATTTGCTTATAATTCTATATTACTATACATATAGCTTTGTGATTCTCTTTTTTCTTAGAAAATTATCTTTTCATAAACCTTGGAACTGTGGATAGTTTAACTATTTATTGGATTTTTGAATTTCTAATGAATGCCTAAGTGGCTGCACCATGATCTTGATCAAATGGAGAATTCATATATTGAACATCAGTCTTGTTTGTACACCATTCCGGTTGACAGTGTATGTGCTCACATGTTAGAACCCAGTGTATCTTTATGAATGTTCCTTGTTTGATCTTCTTGAGGTTAAACCACTCTTTAATTTTCAAATTAGTGAGACAAGAATGATTATATTTGGCCTTCCAAAACATGCTTAGCTAGCTCGGTTGCTACCTGCTTTCATAAGTTAGGCTAGGGTTGGTTGGTTGCGATAGTCATGTTTTGGTGTAGATAATTGGTCCGACATTAAACATAGGGAAGAAGTATTCAAAAAACCGAACTTAATTACTTTAATAGTAATATTATAGGAAATACTGAAGTATATATTAGTTGATTACAACTTCGGAGAATTTTTATTACGGAGGTTAATAAAAATGATCATACTACCAGTCTACCACTTAATAAATGATCATATTAATTGTTATGAATTTTTGTTACCACTTAATAGATTTCATTAAGATATGTAGAATGATCATATCATTCAAACACACATTAATAATCTTCAACAAATGCAAATGAACCGGCAGGTTATGTTTTTTTCATGAAATTGATGAATAACATGTGATATTAATATAGGTAAAATCCTAACTATATATTCATAGGCATGCATGCATGTCTACCACGTTTAATTGTCACCCTTTCAGCAATAGTAAACTTACAATTTTCATCATTTTCGTCAGAACAAAGAAATTCGAGACAACGAAACTACAGAGGGGTGAGGCAAAGACCGTGGGGAAAGTACGCAGCTGAGATCCGTGACCCGAACAAGGCAGCTCGTGTGTGGCTTGGCACGTTCAACACCGCAGAAGAAGCAGCTTTAGCATATGACAAAGCTGCATTTGAGTTTAGAGGTCACAAGGCCAAGCTTAACTTCCCGGAGCACATTCTTATCAACTCTACTCATCGCTATCCATCGACCGCTACTTCACATGATCCCATTATCGTTACGCAAGTTCCACCAGTTGCTCCTGACATACTTCTTGATCAATATGGGAAATTTCTACCGGAAAATAGTGATACCAAGGACAACTTGTACATGCCTATGTCGTCTTCATTGAGTCAACAAGGGAATAGACCAAAATTGGAGGATAGTGAAAACGTGAAAAACATGAGTATTAACAAACGAAGAAAATAGCATATGCATCATGCCTCACGAGTATATTCTTCTTCCATCCAAGTTATCAAACGCAACAGTCCAGCTGAAATATTTGTCTTGCCTCCCATTTTTTTTTTAAATAATATATGTAGATATAAGTTCCCAATTCTTTTACATTACATTTTAATTTTTTTTTACTAAATGTTTATGGCTCCCAAAATCTTAGGCAGGTCATGCCGTCAATGTAACCTAGCTTTGATCGACTTTATGATTTCTTGTAATAATGACACTGAATAATAGGGTTTTTAAAGAGTGAAAGGGTGCATTTAGTAGGATTCAGGCCTCGAGGATGAAAGATAACCTTTTGGGACATGAATATGTTAAAAGGGATGAAGATGACTTGGGAGATAAGGGAAGCTATCTCGTACACATTCTTATCTGTCAAGACAACTAATGTATGTTTTGTTGACCAACTAGTGTAACCATTGAAACCTTACCTGACTATGAGTGAAGTCCTAGTAGAAGAGAAATCTGAAAATTCCAATATTATTCTTGTACAAGCATATTCAATTCTGGTTATATTCCCCTTTTGTGTTGGAGTTGGATTAGAGAGTTTCATTATATGTGGCGTTAGCATTATATATCTAAATGATATGGTCGCATATAAATATACTAAGGCATCGATACCATAAAACGTACTATAATCATAATCTAGCTACACTGTAAGAATACAACCTTGTTAGTTATAATCTAGCATCCCTGGAGTTAAGAGAGCCTATAAGCAAAGAAGAAACTCTGATATATATATTCAACAAGGAAACTCGTGGAAGTTAAAAAAAAAAAAAAAGTTATTTACAAAACCTTATATGCATCCATCAAAAATCTCAATGAATGTTGAATACTAATATAAGTAACAACAACATACTCAGAATACAACAACACTCTCTAACACGGCAATAGCCTCACAAAGTAAAGACAGAACCCCAAAGAACATGCTCAAGGGTAGCCATCAAGCACACCTTTAAGTAGATTTAACCCTTCCGCAGATATGCTCCGCCTCACACGTGACTGCATCCGGATCTCTATCCTCTGTGGAGGATCAGGAGAGAAGCACACAACAATCACAGTCAAATTATCACACGTATTCCGTTTAAGAGCCTCTCTCACAAGCTCTCTAGAGCATCTCTCTGGATCATTATGAATCATCAGTTCTTTCCTTGCGATTGTTACCGCGCACTGACTGCTCATCACATCCCAAAGACCGTCACATCCCATTATCAAGAACTCATCGTCCTCACTAAGGTCAGTCTCTTGCAACTCTGGCTCTGGGGTAAGAGGACAAGCAGAGCCTTTGGGACCTTTCATGTGCCAGTCTCCAATGGCACGTGCAACTGATAGTTGCCCATTAAGGTAGCCATCATACACAACCCCACCTAGCTTCTCTATTCTTATTTTCTCGGAGCTGCAGTTTGGTTTGTGGTCTTTGGATAGCTCAATTGCTCTGCCTCTTCTACCAAGCACTGCTCGGCAATCACCAGCATTTGCAATTATCAATCTCCTGTAAAGAAAGAAAGTAGCAACTCTATTCAAAATCAAATCAAAAGTACTTAAGTCTTTCAACCAAGAATGAAGCCTAAATACATACACATGAACTTAAAAATGTCCCTTACCTTCCAACGATAAAAGCTGTAAGTGCAGTGGTCCCAGAAGAGATATCAAGGGAAGAATCATCTGCAAATTCATAATCAGCTTTCAAGAAAGCATTCTTGATTGCCTTCTTTACACATAGTGGGAAGTAGGAGTCTTCTACAATGTATCTCAATATGTTCTTTCTTACAAACAGTGCCGCATCTGTGCCTCCATGACCATCAAATACCTGCCAAAGACAACACAATCAACAACGGTAAAGATCATTTATATATGATGAAATGCAGAAGAATCAGGTTGACAAGCCTTTGGGTAAGTTTTGAAGATAGACACTCACCCCATAGAAGGCACCAAGTGATGATAATTCAACAGATGCACTAAGATGCTGAACAAGATTATCGATGCAAATGTGCTCATCTTCCATTAACTGTTTTGCACCTTGTTCAGCACAGCTTCCTGATCGGTATACTGGTGAAAACTCTGAGTTTTCATCAAGTGACTTCATAACCAGACTACAAACATCCACCTCCTGCGCAGAAACATCAACCAATTATATCACTCGAACCCCAATGAAAAAAAAGAAACGCAAATCCAGAACTTGTGGGTCATAAAAGTTACCGCAGTGACTGCAAGCTGCAGCCTACTAGTAGTAGTGCTTGTAATATGTTGCATAGAAGAAATATGCCTGGGAGGTTTTCCTTTACTCATTTGCTTAGAGTCATCTAAAGTATCAATCTCCGTTGCAGAAGCCTTGTCCATGTTGAAATCTCCCTCTAGAACCGTTATCAAAGGTGAAAAATCCATACCATCCGCTGAGCTCTTCTCAATCATGTAAATTTATCAGCAAATCCAGTAACAGTTCCTCTTGTGTTTGAGCGTTTTCAGTCTGTTGATCAACAAAGACCAACTTACAAGGATCAGACTTCTTGTGAGAAACAAAACTTAACAACAAAGACCCACTTGGAAAACTTGATAAATGCCCAAGTTCAGTAGATCCTTGATCAAACAGGTAGTATCAGACTCAATAACCACCACATCAACAATTCAAGCTTCTACAACTATGCATCAAATCAAGCTACCAAAAGGGTCAAGAAGAAGCAACTACTCAAAGGTGAAACCTTTATCTACTACTTTTCAGGTCAGATCAAGCTATCGATTATCCAGAAACTTAACCTAAACCCTAATTAAAAATTGACCATAAAATTCCTGTTTTTCTCAAAATCACACACACCCAGAAGCTTAATTCAACAAAAAGCTCACAAATTTTCAGCTCTTAGACTAAACCCAACAGATTGATGAGAAACGAAAAACCTCAAATCATGTAGATAATTCAGAAATTGAGAAGCTTGCCACACAAACAAAAGCTCTGAAATTACCTCACAGATGACAACGATGGAAAAGCTCTGAGATAGATATTCTCGGAAACCCAGAAGAAGAAGAAAGTTATGGCGTTGAAGAAAGAAGAAGAAGAAGAAGAAGAGAATTGACGAAAGACAGTTTCAGGAAGGTTTCTTTGAGAGAGAGAGAGAAACGAAGAAGAAGCTTTGTCTCGTTTGGTATTTGGTTGGCCACCGGCGATTCCAGGTGATCTCTTCCATCGTCTCACTGTCGCTCCCGATATTTCCTACCGACACGTGTCGTCAAATCAACGGCTAAGCATTACTTTGACCGGGTGGTACCGTCATTGAGTCCCAGCGGTTGGATTTCTTAGATAGAAACTCGACGGTCTAGATCTCATCCACGTAATCTCCTTTTGTCTTTTCCAAATCGCGAGGGGTTAGACCATGTGCAACGGCAGTAACGTTGCGATCCTTAACCACCGGTCCAACAAATTATGCCTTTTTTTAATATTATTTAACCCTAAATGACTAAGGATCAGTACGTAAATAAGGATTTTTTTTCCTTGATCCTTAGCCACGTGGCACATTCTGGCTGGACCGTGATTCATACGGGTTTGGTTTTGTCGAGAAAAAAACGCATTTCGATCGAAGAGGAGAAAAAAAAAATTGCTCTAGAGAAAAGGCGATTTTGGAGAACTCGATCGAGCAAGGTAGATCGAAGGTTTATGTTGTCGATTTATGTGTTTAGATTAGGTCTTTTGTTGTTTTCCTTTCAATTTACGGTTCGGTTTTCTCGTTTTCGATTGATTTGTGTTTTTCAAATTAGGGTTTCGAAGGATTTGGGATTTCAATCGAAGTTTTGTGATTTAGGGTTTGAAAACGATTTAGGTTTCCAACAATTTCTGGATATTCCCGTATGCTTTGTAATCGAACTTTTAGGATTTAGGATTTCAATCGAACTTTTGGGATTTTGGGTTTGAAAACGATTTAGGTTTGAAATCGATTTCCGTTTTAAAATCCATAGTCGTTTCAATTCGATCTAAAGGGTTTTATACGTGATTCATGTTTACATGTGACTGATGTTTGGTAACGGTTTATATGTGTTTCTGTATTGAACTTTGGGAGGATTCTCTGTGTGTGTTGGTATTTGTTTACATGTCATTCTTGTTCTTTATGTGTGTGTTGGTATTTGTTTACATGTGATTCTTGTTCTTTATGTGTGTGTTGTTATTTGTTTACATGTGATTCTTGTTCTTTATGTGTGTGTTGGTATTTGTTCGAATGTTCTTATCCAGGAACTAGTGTATTGGACAGAACCTAGTAGTGTCTGTAGTTGTTTCGGTATTGCTCTCTGTTTGTTGTTGTCTCTGGTTTCCTTAGGATTTCTTTAACACACAGTATGATTGTGGGTTATAGATTGAGAGCACTAACTGTTATTACATGATTTCTTTCAGGTTTACTCATCATGGGACAAGACTATTCGTACACCCAGCCTTCCTCATCATCAGAGTTTGACATGACGTCACTGCTTGAAGCAGAAGGTCAACTCTACGCGGATGAAGGTTCGAGTAGCTACATTGCAGAGCCGTGTCAGTACACATCTCAAGCTGAGGCTGATGCTGGAATCCCTACCAGTTGCTACTGTGGTGGTGAGCCTGCTCTTGGTACATCCTACACGAGGAAAGATCCAGGGCGAAGGTACTTCACGTGCGACAATGTGGACGACGGGGAGTGCCACATTTGGAAGTGGTGGGATGTGGCTGTCACAGAGGAGTTGAGTGAGGTGCAGAGACATGTTAGGTACCTTAAGGATCAAGCTTTTCAGTGTGATGAGAAGGTGGTCAAGGTACAGAAGACCGTGTGTGAGCTTAAGAAGACCGTTCGAGAGCTAAAGACCGTTTGTGTAGTTGTCTCTGTATTAGCTTCTATATGTTTGGCGGTTATGTGTGTGTCTGGTAAGTATATCTCTGGTGTTTTGGTTGTTCTTCATGCAAGTATATCTCTATTGACTCTTGGTTCTCTTGTTTTGGCAGGAAGAGCTTCAATGGTCTAAACCACATGTCGGCATAATTAGGTACAACACTACAACTTCGTTTAATAAAGGTTCAACACTACAACTATGATATACCTTAATATATGATATACTTGAATATAAGAACTAAAAATAAATAAAAAGATATACTTTAATATAAGAACTAAATAAATCTAATCTATAAATAAAAAGATATATTTTAATATAATGATATACTTTAATATAACTAGTCACTAGTTAAGGTGCAACTAGTTACCGTAAATGGTAACTAGTTACTACTCTTTAGATGCAAGTACTTCTCATTACTTTAATATTACATCTCACTAGTTAAGATGCAAGTACTTCTTTACTTAGTTTTATATGAAACTAGTTACCGTTATAGAACTAGTAAAAGAAGAGTGCTTGCTTCCTACCGCCTAAGATGTGATTGTTTTTAATGTTTTACCGCTTTAAATTAGGATGTTAGTGTGATTTGATTGGTGTTTAATGCTTTCTATCTTCCTATCTGCTTCGTCTTTATTGCCTTTAAACCAAATCAAATTTAGGTTTGCCTTTTTAAGTCGTTGTGTTGCTATTAGAGTGACACAACCGAGTCTCTAAACATGGACAACAACTCTAGCTATGTTAACCTTCTGTTTAGCCAAACCCAAGCATCAGTGGACCTTGATTCACCCGAACCCTTTTGGTTCGGTAGCCAAGGTCTGGATCCGTCTCCAAGTGTGGACTCTGGTGCTCTCTCGAGGAGGAAGTGGTGCCCGAAGGAGGATAGAATCCTTATTTCTGCGTGGCTTAACACCAGCAAAGATGCGGTGGTGGGCAATGAGCAGAAAGGTGTAGCGTTTTGGAAGAGAATAGTTGACTGCTTCAACGCAAGCCCTCAATTGGTGTGAAAAACACCTAGAGAGCTTGGTCAGTGCAAGCAGAGGTGGGCTAGGATCAACGAGCAAGTCTGCAAATTCGTTGGTTGCTATGGCGCGGCTCTGAGGGATGAGAGGAGTGGTCAAAGCGATAATGACGTGATGAATAAAGCCCTAGACAACTTCGACAATCAGTACAAGGTGAAGTTTAGTATGGAACACGCTTGGAGGGATTTGAGGCACGACCATAAATGGGCCTCTACCTATCTCTCTAAGGAAAAGCGCAAAGTGGTGGACGTAGATAGAGCAGAGGAAGAAGAAGTGGGACAAACAGAGGGTCGTCCTATGGGTGTCAAGGCAGCTAAAGCTGCCACGAAGAAGAAGAAGAGTGCTCAAGAAGAGTCACTCTCTCAGTTGCAATCCATCTTCGAAATGAAAGAGAAGATCCAAAACAAGAAACTGCTTGACCGTCTACTCGGCCAAAAAGAGCCACTTAGTGAGCTGGAAACATCTCTTAAAATTAAGCTCATGTCTCAGATGATATGAGTTTAGGTATGTCTAGTTTATATTTGCTTCTAGCTTACGTCTGAAGTCTAGTTTATGTTTGCTTCTAGCTTACGTCTGGAGTATAGTTTATGTAAATTCTAGCTTACGTCCCAGTTTATAGTTACATCTCTCTAGTTTATGTTTGCTTCTAGTTTATGTTCGCTTCTAGTTTATGTTTGTTTCTTTTATAGGTTCTTCTACTTACATGTCTCTGTTTATATTTGCTTCTAGTTAATACTCGTAAACTAACTATTGTCTTATTTGTTTCTTTAATACTTGTAAACTAACTATTGTATTATTTGTGCTGAGTTGTATCAGGGGTGGAGCAGTAGGCATGTGAAGGAAGTCACGGGTGGATTTGAAGTTGTTAAGTCTTTTGGTCTTTAGCTGCAAGTGGAGAAGTCACGGACTCTACTGTTGAAGTTTATGTAGTATAAAGTAGTAGTGAAGGGTTCTCTAGTGTTCTATCTTATGAAAAACTTGGGTTTTCTCTTATTGTATCGGCGAGGTTCTATTTTGGGTTCTCTAGTATTCTCTTGTAAGCTGACACTGGTAGCTCAAACTCGGTCTGAAGTTCTGGTACCATCTCCTTTTGTATCACTTGTGTTGTAGGTACCAAATTCTGGATCTTCTGTAATATGTTGTTGTTGAATCAAACTTGTTTTGCATCCATATTTTAGCTGTCCATCTGTTCATGTCCGTGTAGTATTTTAACATCAAGGATTGTAAATACAAGAATGTTGAACTTAAAACTTTACCAAGAACACTAAAGTAATTTAACATACAGGAAAACAAAGTCAAACTTAAGAAAACATATAGTCTTATTTAGATTAAAATATATGAGACTTGAATTTGAACATGTTTTTAAAATACGAAATTCTATTTAAACTAGTTTTTAAAATTAATAAAATTAATAATATTGACCTTAATCAAAACATTGAATTTGAACATGCCCATGACATAATATGGCTAATTTATTAATTGGACTGATTGATAGTTAATTAGGATAGATGAAATATACAATTAGGATAGTTAATTATTTTTAATGAAATTAACTAAGAAAAAATTAATTATTGCTGGTTTATTTACTAATTAATTTTAATTAGGATAGTTAATTATTTTTAATTTGATAATTATGTTCAATAACTAAAATAATTTTTTTAAAGGAGGAA